CTAAAATAAAAATAAAAATAAATCTGTGTTGTGATTTGGGAAAACAGGACTGAGGCTGGGATTGTGTGAAAGTGGAGAGCAGAAAACCAAGCTACTTGTTTTTGTGTATCTTTTCCTTCCAGCCTGAAGATAGTGATGACTGTATGTGAAAATCTTTGGCCTTTTTAGTATATTGAAGAAAATCTGATTCAGCACAAAATCTTACACTTTGCTTGAATATATTTGATGTTTTGCCACCAAGAATAGAGATTTCTTCTTTCAGTAGTGACTTAGGGCTCAGTATGGTGGCTCAAACCTATAATCCCAGCATTTTGGGAGGCCCAGGTGGATGGATAGCTTGAGCCTGGGAGTTTGAGACCAGCCTGGGTAACATGGTGAAACCCCATCTCTACAAAAAATACAAAAATTAGCTGGATGTGGTGGCACTCACTTGTAGTCCTAGCTGCTGGTGAGGCTGAGGTGGGAGGATCACCTGAGCCAGGGCTGCAGTGAGCCTTGATCATGCCACTGAGCTGTAGCCTGGACACAGAGTGAGATCCTGTCCCGGGGTGGGGTGGGGTGGGGGGGAAGAGAAGGCATATGTACTGGTACTATTAGTGTATTAAAGAAATTAGATTCTAAAGTTGTCTCCCATCCATTATTATTTAGTGATGGTTGATGATATGTAGTGAATATTTCTGAAGGATCATTTATTTGCCAAACGTTTGTTGAGCCCTAAGTTCAAGGCACTGCGTTTGGTACCAAAGGATAGAAAGATGAATATATTGGGGTCTCTGTTCCCGAGGAGCTTAAAACCTTGTGGGGAAGATAAGACATTGATAAGTGACAATTCAGTATATGGGATTGGTGAGGATAAAGAGTTTGATTTTGAGAGGAGGAGGGCAATTTTTAGCTGGGTCTTTAAGGGCAATAATTTTGAGAGGACAAGGATAAATGTTAGTAAGAAGCAGAGGAAACAGAATGAAAGAAGCATGGAGCCATGAAGCTGTGTGGTATATTTCTGAAACAGAGAGTAATCTAGTGTGTCTGCAGTGTGGGTTGTATGTAAATGTGGGATATTAGCTTAAAAGGCATGTTGGAGATAAATTATGAAGGACTTTGAATGAAATGCTGTTTGCTGTGGGGTATACAGTGGTGATGTCTGTATGTCATATCATGGCCACCACTGATGACCCAGGATGGAAACTTGCCCCAAACCAAAACACTTATAATCCTTTTCTGGGGTTTTCAAACTTGTACTGGAAGAATTAAGAAAGATTGGTGGAGGGAATCTTAGATGTCATGCTTGGGAATTCTAAGTGACCAAGGTATCTGCATGTTTAGGACACTGATAAGCAGTAGGTGAGATGGAGAGTGACCGAGTGAGTCACATGGGCTACAGTGGAGAGAAAACATCCTGGCAGAGACTGAGTGCCAGATTCTAGTCATCTCCCAAACATAGCAGCACTCTTACCTTTTTGTGGTGATATGAATTTCCCCAGGAACCAGAGACCTCACTTGAACTGGCCTAGGGAGGAATTGTTCAAATTGTCAGTAAAGGAAAAGCAGCAGAGCCTCTTTGATGAAGCTGTAAAATGTGAGCTGGAAGCTACTGGGAGCCATGTTTCCAAGCTTTCAGAGAAGGCTCCTTTGAAAACTAACCTGATGAGAAAGGCAGAGGCAAGTGAAATGGGATAGCAGGTCTTCAAGTCCAGCCAGCTGCACTCCTGCTCTTCATATTGTTTGGTATTGTGATCTAATGGATTCAACTTTTTGCCTAGACCATTTCAAGTGGAGTTTCTGGTTCCTGAGGAAGTTCACGGCCAATAAAGGTAGCATGCCAACTCCTGTGCCAGGGGGCAAGCATGGTGATCAACAGACCTAGTAGAACCACATACAGGTGGAGTGAGGGACTATTTTCCAAATGAAGTGGGGTAGAGGTACTATCCTTAGTAAAGGGAAAGCAATAAATAATCCTCTTCAGGTGAGGAAAGCTCAACCTGGGTCCATAGCCTCAGGGCTGGAAAAAAAGGTCTTCATTTGAGAAACACTGTCCCGTAGGAGATAGAATCTACAGTTAACTGAGGTAGGAATGCTAGAGGATGAGCAGACTTGGGAAGAGAAATAATGGCCTCAATCGGTTCATTTTGGGATTCAACTCTCTTCAGAAATGTAGAAAAATTGAGTTTGGTGGTTTTCTACATAGGCTGAAGTTCCATTTGAATTAGGAATCTGGTTGCTGTCAGTGCTTTCCTCCTCAAAGTTCTCTGACCATTCCAGGTTATTGAGCCCCACCAGTGATAATGATGTATGTTTCAGAGTTTCTGTTATGTATGAGGCATTGTTGTAGGGCCTTTCTATATGTCTATGGCATGTAATTTAATCATTACAGCAATCCTATGAAATGTATTATATTCAGAAAGGAAACTGAGGTCAGGGAGGATCAGAAATTTGCTTCAAACACAGGTCTGACTGATGTAAAAGAAGGTTGGGCTCTTATTATTACATTATCCTGCCTCTTTAAATAATACTACTGCCCCTCTACTAATACTACTATTAGTAATTGTCAGCAGTTACTAAGCTCTTACTCTATCTAGGTACTTTAAATGAAGTATCTTTTATTTATTTATTTATTTTTGAGATGGAGTTTTGCTTTTGTTACCCAGGCTGGAGTGCAATGGCACAATCTCGGCTCACCGCAACCTCCGCCTCCTGGGTTCAGGCAATTCTCCTGCCTCAGCCTCCCGAGTAGCTGGGATTACAGGCACGGGCCACCATGCCCAGCTAATTTTTGTATTTTTGGTAGAGACGGGGTTTCACCATGTTGACCAGGATGGTCACGATCTCTTGACCTCGTGATCCACCCACCTCAGCCTCCCAAAGTGCTGGGATTACAGGTGTGAGCCACCGCGCCCGGCCTCTTTTATTCCTTACAAGTACTATCCTGAACTTAGAACTGGGAAAACTGAGGCTTGAGGTCATATAAATCATGTGATGAAGCCAGCACTTGAATTCAGCTCTCTTGGCACTAGAGACTAGAGACAAGCACTATTTTCCACTGTCTTTAGGTCTATAAGAAAAGCTTATCTCACAGATTTCCAAGTCAGCTGTTGCTACCATGCTTTCAAGCTAGTAGTTTCCTACCTGGGAAAAGAATAAAGTTTATAGCAGTGCTACTTCTCACAATCTTTAGTGCTTTCTTTGCCTTAATCTTAAGGTTTGGAAGAAAGGAGAAGCAGTTTACTTCACAACATGGATGGGAGTCTCATCTTCAAAGACATAATTAAAACTGTCCTGGATAGCTGGGCATGGTGGCACATGCCTGTAATCCCAGCACTTTGGGAGCCTAAGGTGGCAGGACTGCTTGAGTCCAGGAGTTCAAGACCAGCCTGGGCAACATAATGAGACCCAATTTCTTAAAAAAAAAAAAAACCTAGGACTGGTGGTTAGTGCCTGTAGTCCCAGTTACTTAGAAGGCTGAGGTGGGAGGATGGCCTGAGTCCAGGAGTTCAAGGCCACAGTGGATTATGATTAGGCCACTGCACTCCAGCCTGGGCAACAGAAGGAGACCCTATTTCAAAACCAACCAACCAACCAACCAAAACTGTCCTAGTGACAATAAACTATAATGCCATCTGAGTGGATGACCTCAATGTAGTATTGGCTAAAAATTTTATTTGCACATATAACATATTCATTCTATCACTAGAAGTTTCCTGTTCTGTTAAAATATAAAGTCCCTAGAGTTGCCTTTGTTCTTGAAGAGCTTCACTCTGAATCATGTAACTGATTTGGATGTCGTCTTTCAATAAGACAATAGCAGCAGCGTCATAAGCCTCCAGGTCAAGCATAGTAGCATAGTATTTGGTGTTACCTATTTTAGTAAATTTATGTTTGGTTAATTCCTGTTGAGGAATGAAACTATGACCAAAGAGATGATATAGTTTATTAGATGAATCCCTGATGTCTTCATACTAATGTAAAGCTCTGTCACAGCCTGCTTTGGTCTGCTGGTTCCTGGGTGTGGTATCCAGCTGTTTGTCAGCTTCTCCCTCCATATTCCATGGAAATCCCAACTGTATTTTTGGGTTTTGGGTTGCCTACTGAGTTCACTGTTTAAAAACGTGAGTTGGAATGTTCCTTTTATGTTTTTATTGAAAAGAACCCAAGTTCTATGATGAATTAAAATTACTTAAATGTTTATAGCTCATATTCATTGTATCAGATTATTTGAAAAATCTTGTCTGCATGTTCCCCTTCTGATGGAGTTTGGGTCAGACGAAGGTGGTTACAAAAAATGTTTGACACTAAAAATGTTCACATTACACTATTGTTTGATAGTCATTCACTAATTCTTCATTTAGTCTACTTGTACATTAAGTATCAACAAATCTTTATTTTGGAGATGAATAAGATGTGTCCTTTGCAGTGGGAAAGTTCATTATTTAATAGAGCTGTTCACAGACTTCAATTGGCCTTCTTGATAAATGTGATGAACATGGTTTACAATTTACAAAGATATTCAGGCTCTCAGATCTTGGAATTGCTGAACTAAATTTTTGTGTATGTATTCTTATATTATTTTTTTCCTAGGTATTCAGGGAAATAAACACTGTCTAATGGAGAAGCTAGGTTTTTCAAATTTTGTATCTGTGAATGCATATTATTAGCTGAGCTTACATGACTATGAATTATAAAGAAGTATAAAGCACAGGCTATCAAATGGTCCAAAAGAAAATACTGAATTATCAAGTATTTACATCGCTTATAAATCTTTGAAATCATGGAAATGTTTTCAGGCAGAACAAGATGGAATTTATCTTCTTAATTGTTACACAGTACCTTGAAGAATGCAAATTGGTGCGTAGAGATAAGGCTTGGTGTATAATTTGCCATTTTAAAAGTTTCCCTTTCAAGTTCAAGGTATTAAGCTTCTTTATGGAAGGCTGAGACCAAGCCCTAGCTGCAAGACCAGGGAACTGACTGCCGGAACGTTTGTGTTGCAGCGCCTTGCCCCTTGCCGGTGCTCTTTCGTGAAGGGACCATCTCTGCCAAGCGCCTGTTGGTAGAAACTTGCTTGGTCGAATCTGTGGGGGCTTGTAGGTGGCTGTGGCTGAAGCAGGCGCCAAGGAGAGTCGGTAGCAGGGAAAGCGCCATGGACGATCAGGGCTGCCCTCGGTGTAAGACCACCAAATATCGGAACCCCTCCTTGAAGCTGATGGTGAATGTGTGCGGACACACTCTGTGAGTTGGGCGGCAGTGGATTCCCTGGGGGAGAGACGCGTAGGATAGGAGAGGGCCTGGAGATGCTAGGCCTCGTCTGGGTGGGAGCAAAGGGTGTTGTTAGTTTCAACACTGTGGAAGAAAATGGAAAAAGGAGGGGTTGTGACTTGAAATGGACTGTAGCCTCTATCCCCGAGCCGCTCTGGCCTGCTTTGAACTGAGGGTTCTCGGTGTGGCACCCAGCAGTTTGTCAGGTTCTCCCTCCGTAGCCAATGAGTATCCCGACTGTATTCCCAGGCTTTGTTTTGTCTACTGGGCTCCAAACATCGCTGATTAAAAGTGTGGGGGATTGGAGTGTTTATTTCATATGAAATGTTTTTATTGAAAAAGTGCGAAAGTGCCACGAAAACTTAAAATTTGCTTGAGTAGATACTGCTGCTATTTATTGTATGAGTTAATTAAAAAACTCTGTATGTATATCCACTTGTCCTGATGGAGTTCGGTTAGACTCTCATCACTAAAATGAAGAAAACCCGGACTCCAGGCAGTTAATTATGAAGATATAACAATGGCTGGCATTTGAGTGCACATTTTGTGCTAGGCAATGTTCTAAGCGTCTTACCATGCATTATCTCGCTTCATTCCTACAACAATCCCATGAAGTAGGTACTGGTATTTCCATTTCACAGGGAAGGAAATCAAGACTGCTCAAGGTCCTTTATTAAGTGGGCCTTAAGAGAATTGGAACCAGGAAGTCTGACTAGAAAGCCCATTTTCAGGGGAAGGGGGTAGAAGGAGGGAGGTTGAGTTTGTGTGTTTTGAAATAAGGATTGGTCAAAGTGTTTCTTGCCAGATTTCTTGTCCAATGCGGTTTAGTGAAGGTGGTTGTAGAAACCAATTTGGGATAAAAGGTGCCATATAGTGGTGAGCACATATTCCTGTAGTTTCTCTGAGGTTTATTGGAAGTAAGAAATAATGGATAATCTACAGTGTGGTAGACAAGGTCTCCCCCCAAACCCCAAGTGCTGACAAAAATGTAGAGCAATTACAGGGTCTTTAGGTAAGCATAAATTGCATAATTAGCTGTAGTTATAATTATTATATGGGATTTATTAGCTTACTTAATTGATTCCCTTTTCTAATTCATCTTTAGTTTCCTTGTTTTACTCTGCAAAGGAAGTATAGTAGAGCTGTGATTGAATGGTTTAAGATTAGAAGTAAGGTAAAAGTAATCCAGAATGCATAGAAAAGGGAATTCTGGCTGGGCGCGGTGGCTCACGCCTGTAATCCCAGCACTTTGGGAGGCTGAGGCGGGTGGATCATGAGGTCAAGAGATGGAGACCATCCTGGTCAACATGGTGAAACCCCGTCTCTACTAAAAATACAAAAAATTAGCTGGGCACGGTGGTGTGTGCCAGTAATCCCAGCTACTCAGGAGGCTGAGGCAGAATTTCCTGAACCCAGGAGGCGGAGGTTGCAGTGAGCCGAGATTGCACCATTGCACTCCAGCCTGGGGAACAAGAGTGAAACTCCGTCTCAAAAAAAAAAAAAAAAAAAGGGAATTCTACATGGAAAACACTGTAGATAGACTGTTTTGAGAGAGATTTCCTTCAAATTCTCTCCATTTTTCTTTATCAGGTTTGTTACAGTGGAACAAGAAAGGGAGTTTGTTTTTTTGGGAAGGATACTAAATGTAATTTACCAGAAGGAGGCTAAATGTAATGTTCTGGCCTAGCAGAAATTAGCCAGTCAGGGAAGAGCATACGATTTCAGTAACATAAATGGCATTTTAATTAGGCAATTATAAAATATTTATTTTAATTGAAATTGCTTTTGTTGTATAGTCAGCCCTTTTTGTTAAGGTCTAACAGTTAAGACTTTTATTGATTCTGGTGTTGAATTTAATCTGGTTAATTTGCTAACCTGTTAGATACAGGCCACATTTTACGGTCCTTTTTTGACTTGAAATGTTAACAAAATGAGTAAAAGGCTGTCGCATGTTGGCTAAGAGAACAAGCTTTGGAATCAGTCTATCTGATTTCACATTCTTCCCTCTTACGGGCTCTGTGGCCTTAGGCAAATGACTAACTCTTTTTTGGTCATTCTTCTTGTCTGTACAGTAGAGAAAATAGCGCTGCCTGTATCATGGTCCTTAAGTATTAAGTAATATATGTAAAATATTTAGAAATATTTAGTAGAGTTTCTGTCACGTATTTGTTTATTGTATATTGGCTATTTTATTGTTAATATTATTTGTGTGTGGCATGGGTGATAGCAGAAATAAAATTAAAACAGGTCTTATTTGGCCTGCTATGAAAGATTTGCGCAATAATGAGTAAATGATTTCAGTACACAATAAAATGTGAAAATATAACTTTAATTATAATGACTCTTGTAATTTTCTTAATATGAACTCTTTAGCATGTTCTTTAATTAATCATCCATTTAAAAAAGTACCTTAATCTAGGCTAACACAGAGAACTCACTGATTTTTATGGTAACCATTTAAAAAATATAAAATTATGTAAGTAATTAATAAAAGCAACATAAGTTATTAAGTGAAATGTAAAAATTTTTATGGTTCACTTTTACAGAGGTGACAACTTTTAGGTTGTTTGGGTATATTTTCAAATGTTTTCTCTGCATATACAAACATGGATGTGTTTGGGTAGAAAACTTTTACTTCCCTTAGCATAAACAGGAATATAGCATAAACATATATATGTTTATGCTATATATATGTTTCCTTGCTTTTTTCATTATGTATATCTTGGATCATCTCTCTAGATCAATATGCATAGGTTTTCCTTTTTTAACAATTTGATAGTAGCCCATTGTTCAGATATATAATTGGTTTACCCAAATTTTTAAAATTAATATTTATTTAATTTTCCAATTTTTCCTTGGAGTACCCATAAATATGCATATATATGTATATATATATATATATATCTTTGAGCACTTATGCCAATGTATCATAAAATATAACAGGTAAAAATCATAGCGCAGTGTCCAGTAGTGGAACTGTTGGGTCAGAGTTTGTGGTTTTAAAAATTTGATACATATGGCCCAGTTGTTCTCAAAAAACATTGTGTCAAGCCAGGCATGGTGGTGCCTACCTGTAGTCCTAGCTACCTGGGAGGCTGAGGAGGGAGGATTGCTTGAGCCCAGGAGTTCGAGATCAACTTGGGCAACACAGGGAAACCCCATCTTTAAAAAAAGTAATTGTGTCAATTATGTTGCCAACAACTATATCGAGATTCCCGTTGCCTCACATCTTTGCCTATATTGGCTACTATTATTTTTTAAAATCTTGCATTTTAAAATATGTTTAAAAACATCCGATTAAATGCTTTTCTGATAAGAAAAGCATCTTACATCTTAATGAAAATTTTTTGATAGTTTGTTGGGTTTTTATGGCATGTATTTCATGGGATTGAATATAGGCATTTTTATAATATGCAGGTTAGTCTGAGAGGCGCAGGGATTATTTTGCTGAATTATTCTGGCTCAGAGTCTTAAGTTGCAGTCAAGTTGTTGGCTAGGACTGCAGTCTAGACTTAACTGGGCCTGGAATATCTGTTTCCAAGGTCACTCATGTGGCTCTTATCAGGAGGCTTCAGTTCCTCCCCACGGACTCCTCCATAGGGCTGTTTATGACATGGCTTCTCCCAGAACTAGTGATATGAGCAGCGGTGAGAGAGACTGGGGAGATGGAGGCAGGAAGAAAAAAAGGGAGAGAGGAAGGCTGGAAGCTGCAAGCCTTTTAAAACCTAATGATAGAAGTGATATACCATCACTTCTGGTGTATTTTTGTGTTACGATGTGGGAGAGTACACACAAAAGTGTGAATACCAAGAGTGTGAATATAATTGGGCCATCTTGAAGGCTGGCTTCTGCAGGATTTTATTAACTTTTTTTTTTCATGTCCTCAAGCAGCAAAGACTTTTTGGAGGCAAGTGATAAAGTGAGTAGGAGTAGTGCTTCATAAAAGATAGGAAGTTTAGGGTTATGGAAAAATTGATTAGGGGTTTTACTTATGGGAGAAAATACAGGAGCAGAGAGGAGAGAAGAGAAAATAAAGAAGTGAAACATTATTAAATACCTTTCTCCTGAAGAAGCATATTTCCCTACTTATCAATTCAATCCAGCAAATGAACAGATAAATTCATTGTATGGATATAGAAGAAGATTGAATTTCATGTTTATTTTTTCTTTTTTGCTGCTTAAGGATGAACATTGCCTCAATTACAGAAAATGGTGTTTTTTTTTTTTCTTTATCAGGCTACCTATTTCAAGAAATGAGCCTTCCATTCTGAAGGCATACAGAATTAGATGGAGGCAGTGATACCTAATTCTCATTTAACTACAGTCTTTAATAATTTAATTTCTGGCTGGGCGCAGTGGCTACCTGTTATCCCAGCACATTGGGAGGCCGAGGCTGGTGAATCACCTGAGGTCAAGAGTTTGAGACCAGCCTGGCCAAAACAGTGAAACCCCATCTCTAATAAAAATACAAAAATTAGTCGGGTGTGGTGGCATGTGCCTGTAATATTGGCTACTTGGGAGGCTGAGGCAGGAGAATCGTTTGAACCTAGGAGGTGGAGGTTGCAGTGAGCCAAGATTGCACCACTGCACTCCAACCTAGACTACAGAGCGAGACTCCATTTTTTAAAAAAAAATTAATTTCTATCCCAACCATTCGTGGCAAAACTTGTTTCTGAAAACTACATGCTAAATTTACTTTTTTCATTTTAAACACACACAAGACACAAAGTACAAAATTAGCAAAATCATGTACCTGCCATCCTGATATATAAAGGCAATATTTTGTCATAGTTACTTAAGGTCTTTCTCTTTCTTTCCCCCCTCCTTTTAATCTGTTCTCTTATTTCTCTCTTTTACTGATTTTACTGAATAGTTTATCTTGAAGAGTCTGAATTTTGCTGATTGCATCTCTGTGATATTGTTAAATATGTTCTGTTCTCAGTATTGCCTCTAAATTGTTAGTTATATTTAAA